AACAAGCTTTTTTTCTATTTTTAGCTCCTGTGACCTAATGTTTTACCCAAGATGACCCATATTCGAACTTTGCCTGTATTACATTGAGATAAACATTCCGGCAAAGGTTAAATATGATCCAATTAAAACTGTGACTGCTAGAGTGTTAAAAACCCAATTGTTTACGACGCACGACGCACTACCCACGACGACACACGCTGGACATAGCCCCATCACTATATACTTCGTGGTCAGGTGAACTAAAAAGGCAATACAAATTTTCAATTCAAAACATTAGGTCACAAGACCTAAAAATAAAAAAAAGCTTGTTAACACTCCTAATATCCAAACTTAATCTAGAAATCATCAAAATAAACTTTCAGACCAATTTCCAGGATATTTGGATCAAAACTGTTTTGAACCAAATATCCTGGAAATTGGTCTGAAAAATTGTTTTGATAATTGCTAGGTCAAGTTTAAATATGGATCACCTTGGGTCAAAATCTATGTCACACTGCCCAAATTTGGAAAAAAAATATTAATATTCTAATAGTAACATTTTTGACTCAATTGTCATCAAACTTGATCAAGACACTTATCTTGTTATTTACTTGAAGACATCTTATTGTTATCTCTAGAGCCAATCTTTGGAATTGCATTCAGCTTTCTTCTCAGTCTGATTTCAACTAGCTCCGGTGCACCGTAACTTTCATTCAATCTAGCCCAGACTTTTCTCAAAGCATTTTCTGGATAATGTATGATTTGTTGGACATTCTTTCTGAAGTCGAAATTATAAAAGAAAATCATTTGTATGCAAACATGCTTTGCTATTTCGATTCCCCAGTCGGTGTGAGTCCTATTGTTGACAAGCTACCAAGCCATATTCAGAATAGATGGGCGGAAAGGGGAAGAAAATACAAAGTTACGCATACCGTGACTTATCCTCCATTTCATTTTTTCGTTCAATTTATCGGCAAAATGTGCAGCTTGCATAATGATCCAAGCTTCATCAAAGATATACCTGTCCAAAAGAATGATGCACTTCGTAATCATCCAGCTAGGAGAAACACAAACAAGGGAGAAGTGAAGGAAGTTGTAAAGATGTGCCTTATTCATCAATACGCGAGTCACACATTGGAAAAATGTAGAGAATTTCAAAAGAAACCCATAGAGGAACGCTGATAGTTTTTGAAAGAAAACAGGTTATGTTTCCGCTGTACCGAATCTGGACATAGTATTAAAGAGTGTAAGACGCAAATCAAATGCCTTATTTGTAAGAGTAATAAACATGCTCCCTGCTTACACATTACTTTAAAACCAAACACTTCACACACTGAACATTTGAATAGCAACTGTTTGAAAATGTGCGATGATGCTTCTCTGTGTAAGTCGTGTGCCAAGATATGAAAGTGAATGTGTACCACAAGAACAATCCAAAAAAAAGAAACAAATGTATGTCGTCATTGATGACCAAAGCAACAAAACATTGGCTACCCCCCCCCCCCCCTTTTGACACCTTTAAGAGAGAATGTGCATTTAAAGAAATTAACTACACATTGTCTTCATGTAGTGGAAAAGTGACAACAACTGGACGAACTGGACAAGGGTTCATAATTGAGGGTATGAATGGGTCCTCATTCGATTTACCCGTTGTGACAGAATGTACGAACATTCCCGATACCTGGGGAGAAATACCTACACCTGATGTTGCCCGTAAATATCCACATTTGCATTCAATCACGGATCAGATACCAAAGTTGAACAAGAATGTCGAAATTATGTTGAACGGTCCTTATGCACAGCTTCTAAGCTTAGGATGGGTTCTTATCGGAGAGACGTGTATAGGAGGTACCCACATACCTTCTATCAATGTTAAAAAGACAAGCCTGGGAGATGGAAGACATTCCCTTCTTAGTGCCTGTGAAAGTAAATTCTTTACAAAACACCATAGTGCTGAGGTAAATTACTTAGACTCGGACATTTTCTTTCACATCAAAGATGATAATAAAGTTGGCCATTCCATAGAGGATCGAAACTTCCTGCAAATAATGGAAACTGCATGTAACAAGAATAAGGAGGGGTACTGGGTTGCTCAGGACAAACCAGTTTTGCCAAAAAATGTTTTGCCAGAGATGTTGCTCTGAAACGAGCTTTATTTCTAGATACAAGTCTCAATTGAAACTCAACAAAGTCAAAACACTTCATCAAATTTATGTCAAAGGTCTTGCAATCTGGGGCAACAGGAGTGGCTCCTTCAGTGGTTAGCAGAGAGGTATGGTATCTACCCCTTTTTGGTGTGTATCAACCAAAGAAACCAGACAAAATAAAAGGTGTATTTGATTATTCAGCTCTATGCAAAGGAGTGTCCTTGAATGGTTCCCTCCTGTCAGGTCCAAATTTGGTTAACAGTTTGCTTGCCGTTCTACTTCGCTTTCGAAAAGACAAGTGCGCAATCATGGCTGATATAGAACAGATGTTCTATTCCTTCTTAGTAAAAGAAGAACATCGTGATTACTTAAGGTTCTTCTGGTACCGTGACAACAATCCAGATAATGCGTTGATCGAATATCGAATGTGTGCACATGTTTTCGAAAACAGTCCATCTCCTGCCATTGCTACATACTGTCTGCGGAAAACTGTTGAAGAAGAAGATTCTCACGTTCGTGACTTTGTTAACAATAATTTTTATGTAGATGATGGACTCATCTCCTTACCTGAATCAGACGACATGATAAGCCTCATGAAAAGAACACAGAAGTGTTTGAAAACTGCTCAACTAAAACTACATAAAATAGTTTCCAACAGCAAATATGTCATAAAGTCATTTCCGGAAGAAGATCTACAAAGCAATATTCGATCTCTCAACCTTGATAAAGATAAGTTGCCTATTAATCAGAGCCTTCGTTTGTCATGGCACCTTGATTCAGACTGTTTCAAGTTCTGTTTCAAAGTAACTGAACCAGTTAAATATCATACTTAGTTATTGTCTGGAGAACTATAATAATCAGATATTTATCAAGCTTTATTCCTACAGTAGTCTGAATAAGACTAGGGAAAAAATATCTAAGCCATTCTTAATAACTTTATTCCTACCTTTTCGTTTTAGACGTCAATTCATTAAACGTTAAACAGGAGTTATTTCCAGTTAAACAAAATAATGGGACAAAAATCAATTTGTTTATAGCTTTTCAGTTGCATACCACAAAAAATAATGTTTCAATTGAAATCATTGAATTTTAAACGAATAGTATAAGTATTTCTTCTTTAAATTACATTTAAGGTTTAAGTTATAGTGATTATTTGCGGAAAACTGAGATGCGGCCCCGCAAGGGCTATATACGAGCTCTTGTGTTTATAAGTTGAATTGAAATCAGATTAAAATCAATAACAAAATAGATAAATACAGAATCCCTAAATAAAGCCCAACACGATTGATTGTTGATTGATTGATTGAGCCTGTTCATGGACGGTATTGGAAAGTGCAAGTTACCGTCCACGCCCCCTAGCACCGGTTTAAGCAGAATTCAACAGTTAAACATGAAATAGTAAAATTTTCAATTTAGAAACATCCGCAGATGTGTTCATACGGCAGTTATCATGGAACCTTCAATGTGACACTTCCGTGCCATTCGATGAAAAGCGGCGTATGGTCCCCAAGTAATAAAAAGCGCGTGCCTTAAACGAGAAAACAATGGGCATATATAACAAATATATGTCCTAGTCTTACATGTTTGAGAAAATTCATCGGTAAGTTGGCGCCGACATTTTGTAAATCTTGACATTAGTCGTAGAAACCCCGAGTCTTGTTTGCACACATGCACACATCATACATCTATGATAAATTCATATGCGAAAGAAATATTTAAATCCTTTCATGCATACCCAAGTTTCAGAGCGAACATTACCACAACCTTCTATATTTATATAGCATAAAAATCTGAAGTGACAAAGTTTAAACCACCAGAGTGACCTTAACCTTAGTCAAAGAAACCAAGATATTGTTCGCGACTCACCATACATCTATGTATATTTCATATAGGAAAGAAAAAATAAAATCCTTTCATGCAGACTGAACTTTCTGAGCGGACACGATCACCACCATCTATATTTATATAACATAAAAAATGACAAAGTAAAATCGCCCAGAGTAACCTTGACCTTAGTCGTAGAAAGACGATTCTTGTTTGCCACGCACCATACATCCATGGTTATTAGATATATGAAAGAAAAAATAAAATCCTTTCATGCATGTTGAAGTTTCAGATCGGACATAACCACCACCTTCTATAATTATATAACAAAATAATGACAAAGTTTGAACCCCCACAGTGACCTTGACCTGAGTCGTATAAACCCGAGTCTTGATTGCGACACACCATATATCTATGGTTATTCAATATGTAAAAAGAAAATTACGATCCTTCCATGCATACTAAAGTTTCAAAGCGGTCACGACTATCACCATCTATATTTATATTACATAAAAAAGACAAAGTTTGAACCTAACAGTGACCATGATCTTAGTCGTAGAAACCCCAAACTTGTTTGCGACACACCATACATCTATGGTTAGTTCATATGTGAAAACAAATTACAATCCTTCCATGCATATAGAATTTTCAGAGCAAACACGACTAACACCTTCTATATCTACATAACATTAAAATGACAAAGTTTGACCCCTCACAGTGATCTTGACCTTAGTCGTAGGAACCCGAGTCTTGTTCGCTACACATCATGCATCAATGAGTATTTCGTATATGAAAGGAAAATTTAAATCCTTTCATGCATGCTGAAGTTTCAGAGCAGGCACGACCACCACCGTCTATATGTATAAAGACAGACGGACTGACAGACTGTGTGACCGACTGACAGACAGACGGGCGGTTCGATTTTAATATGCCACCCTTTGGTGGCATAAAAAAGATCTTGTTTATATATGAAATCTGTTTGCTTGTAATTAAATGATAAGGAATTTCCGCATCTTAGAAAGCACCTTATTTCATATAAAAATTGTATACCTCTGATAAAGAGACGTTTGTGAAAATCAATTTAGCAAATTGGTGTGGTTTAAAGTTTACAATCCATTGCAGATCAGTGTCCAAAATTGTCCTGAAGGGGTAACTTAAGGACGTAATAATGGAGTCTGTATCTACGTATTGTACGTGACCAAAATACAATCCATCTTTGTGTTTAGCCCTCGGGAACGACATCATATGTACTGTTTAAAATATAAAAAAAAATACATAACCTGAATTAAATCCTATATGGGCCTCATGAGGATATGTCTTACTGATAGGATTTCTCATGAATTCCATTTAATAATAATGAAAAACTTAAGACAACTCTAGCAACAGCGTACAGGTCCGATGTATTACATTTAATGGAGGATATTAGTTTTACTATTTATTCTTTATAAATTATTCTGGAAAGAAGCCGAATCAAGCAATCAAAAGTAAAGTAAAATTTGACAGCGACTTGAGTAAGTTTTCGAATTATTTAACCCATAATTTCAAAAAGTATATACACAATTCGGTTCTGAAAATATTGGTCTGATTATTATAACACTGTTACTACATGCTGATTTATGTATGTCACATCAGTCTGCAGTTAAGCAGAATCCTTGTTCCTCTTAATTATATAGCTCACCAGCAAAATACTATATTCAGAAATGTTAACATACCAATGTTTTGTAGTTTGGCAAAACAATGCCCTTCATCGGTTATCTTCTTACTTTTCCATAATCCAAACGGACTATTTTTATAGTGATTACAAAGTCCGACTGGTTCTATGGATCCCATTGGTTCGACATCATGGAGTCCATTGGTATTGGTTCGCCAATGTTTCGTAATAGTAGTCATAATATAATCGTTTCAATAAAACCCCATTTAGTTGACGATATTTTATAACTGGCAACACTGCAATTGTTTTGAATACTGCAAAGTTCAAGACAACTCGTAAGATTTGTATTCAAGACAGTTGAGTCTCCAGATAGCAATTCATGTTCAAGAGGCATCATTTCAGATGATTTGTTGCTGTTAATGTCAGTTATACCTGTTAAACGAGAGATATAAAATATGAGTAAATAAAGAAAAGTGATCTTTTTATATATCGTCACGATTAAACTCGGAAATTTCAAAGGTATATAAATATGTTTCATATTGGTACACGTACATTATTTCTCTTTTCGACATTTGATTACAATCCATCAATGGTTACAATGAAACAAACAATACGCAACTGCCTTTATTGTCAACTTACGTGTCAGTTTACAGCCGAACACTTTGAAATTAAGACATCTGGATTTGCCTGTTGGCTTTCCCAGTGAATGTTTGAATTTTGCGTATCTCCCATTGATTGGTCTCGGAAGAATGAACATTTGATCTATATTCCACCAGTTTTCAGGTGGAAATATTTTAAATTCCTGAAATGATGAATCACAAGTACAAAGGATTACACATTTTTTGAGTTCGATTGATATATCAATATCCTGCCGATTCTTTGTGCAATTTTTTAACAAGATATTACTCATATTGTAACGTTTACATTTCTGAAAACTATGTTGTCTCCAGATTCCTTTATTAAACTTTTTCACAGTTTACTCGTAGAAATACTTTTGATTACACTTTTTGGCGTCATACAGCATTTGGGACAAATTTAAGTTTTTGAATAACTTTTAATTAATTAAAATATAAATAAACACTACCATTATTATAATCTTGAAGGCTTCAACATAAAGAATGAGTTAAAACTATATGTATTAAAGCGGCATGTCACTAAAATATTTCAAGAGAATCAACCTTGAGAAAAATGTATTAAGATTTTAAGAAAAGCAAACTATTTACAATTCAAGTTATATACAATTTATTACTGATTAAGCAATATTTATCACCATAATTTTACTGCGTGGCTGACGCAGTAAATGCTATTTTGCATATTCTGACCTTATTTTGGTATTTGTCGTTTGCAGTGTGTAAATTTCTTCCTTAGTACAATTGAAAATATTTTTCTTTTAAAAACATTTTGTTTCTTTTCATGAGAGTAAGCATGATAAGGGAGGCATGTTTCTTTAAAATGAATGTATATGCTTATTTTTAAATAATTAAACAAACGAGTATACCATATCCTTGTACAACTGTAAGGTATCCTTATTGTTGCCGAAATATAAATCGAAAGTGGTCCACATGTCACATGTTTGGGAAACGTAAACACCAACTCCTTCTATTGTTGTTGCAGCAACTAAATCAATCTAAATTTATAATTATTATGTGTACCAAACTTGTTGACATGTATCTGAATCGTTTTGAATTTACAAATTAGGTATCTGAATAAAAGGTACATATTCTTACGAGCATTTTTTAATCGCAGAGGAAAGTTGCGACAGCCTCAGACAACGACTAACTTTTCAAACAACCCATTACCTCTCGCTTAAACAGTCAAGACAACTGACCAAAAGAAGCGATTTCCTAGATTGTATTTACAATAATAAAGTGTGTGTGCATTTAACCGTAACAATGTTTTATTTTTGTCTTACGTTTGAAAAAATACTTCGATGAACTAGTTTGGTTATATAGTTGTGACGTTTTGTTTTTTTTTAAATCTCATTCACATCACGTTTCAGTCAGCTCCTTTGACTTGAAACCACTACATGTTTTAAGTAAGGACATATCTTAATTTTTCTAAGTAGAGATATTTGAGATATTTCTATCAATAACATTTTTCAAAACCGGACAGAAAAGTATAATTTAGGGTGTAAGTTTTGAGTCATGTTACATTAGATAACATATTAACATGTATAACCATTCATACATAAATTTCCCCTACATGTTATAAGCTAGCATAACTAAACTAACTTTTATCCTTTAACTTTACAGAAAGACTAGTTTCACAATTACAATAAGTTGTAAATAGTATCCGAATAACTATTTAATAGAGATAACAAGTTGCCAAGAAAATGTGGATTACTGTTATTCAAAAGCATATCTCGCATATAGATAAGATATTGACGAAAATATAATCATCATGTAGCATTATATCTAATTCTTACACGACTCGCATTGTTTCTTATTGATCATAGAAGAACCGAAAGTGTGTGTTATTATGCAATAGAATCACAGTTTGACATTCTATGTATAGACATGATACGTAATCATTATACATGTGACGCAACCACTAAAAATGTGACGCGCTGAAAATAAGTACGGAAACAAATCAGGCGCAATATAGATTAATATCAGGTATGGTAGCTATTTTTTGTTGATGTCGTGTTAGAATCGAAATAATATATCCCAAACAGTGATTTTATCGCTCAATAAAATCACTCTTTGGAGTTCGAATGCGCATCATAATATCACTCGGCCTACGCCCTCGTAATGCAATTACTCGCATCCGAACTCCAAACAGTGATTTTATTGAGCGATAAAATCACTGCTTGGGATATATAATTTCTTAAATAGGATTTAATCACACATGTAAGTAGATAAGACTGTTTTTTCTAGTCAAGTAAAGCAGCAGGAAATATAATATCTCAATGCTTTCACTTTGAAAAGGTTAAAATATTATAATAAATAAATGCTGAAAAGGTTAAAACATTATAATAAATAAAGGCATCAAATAATTTCTTTCCATTTAAAGTATTCTTCGATGTATTTTCGCTTTTGCTAATATGAGAGAATATTTTATGACGTGAATTTCACAAACCAATATCCAAGGTGTCAAATCTGAATCATCATGAATCCAACCAGTGAAAATAGTGTTTGTATTTGTAGATATTTGATTTGTGGTTCCAGAGGAAACAGTGATCTGACTGTTTGGTACGTGTTTGTCTTCTATTTCAATACTTTCAAAGCATGCCTCACCATTTTCTACAGAAAAAACAAACATTAGAAAATGTCATACAAGTCTTACACAAACAAATACATATTCAAACAAAAAATAAAAACAAAAATATCGTAAAAAGGTTTGCAACCGATAAAATTAATGATTTGTACTGTATAATTAATGAAAGATCATTGAAAATGGAGTATTGATTGCAACGTGACATTCACGTGACATATTCAGACTCCAGGGGCCCGTCTTAGCAACGGTCGTACGACCGTTTTTATCGTACGATTGTCGTACGTCGATCGTACGATTTTGTCGGTGTCTTATCAAACGTCGCAGATTTTCATAATCGTACGTTTATCGTAAGATCTTGCATTTTTTCTACGATCGCTGAGAAGCAGTCGTGGATCAAACAAATGGCTGCCGTGCTTCCTGTAAATGATACAAGGCGTAGAAAAAGAAGGCCTTTCAGGCATCAAGTGCAACTATTGGATTGCCCGAATGGTCATTAAGTTGTGGCCGACTATCAGCTTGGTTAATTTTCATTAAAAAAACCTATGATCTTAAGATCTTGATTATGTTTCAACAACTTAATTGTATATTATACTTTAATTAACAAATTTTGAAACTGCTTCCTTAATAATATCATTCATAAAATAAAAATGTTGCTTACAAAAAAAAATGAAAATAAATATATGATATTTTTTGAGGTGGTGGGGGCTGTCAGGGGAGGGGGCTGTCAGGGGAGGGAAATGATGGAAACGGCACGAGTGAGAACTGTCAGACGAAGGAACTGGTTAAGGTGAGAATACTTTGTCATTCATCCAAGACATGTGTGTTTCTTTTTATTTGAAACAGTAACTTCATTCATGTAAAAACAGAAATTAGAAAGTGTTAAATGATGATTTATCTTTACATTGCTTTAATCTAGCCCCAAAAACACATTTGATATAATGTAAGTCTGTTATTAATTTTCTTTAGTAGAAAACAAAAAATAATGTAAAAAAATCAAATATAACTACATGTACATGTACAAGTTGGCTTGTAATACATGTCTGCAAAATTCATTTTCACTATTTATCTATATTATCTGCGTTTCTATACTATATACGCTATATCGTGTGCATTTTACTCTAGGTTTATTAACTATTTATCACTCACCAGTGCCGATTTTGCGAATCTGTAAATATGGTATTGCACGGCCGTGCATATATTTTGACGTGACGTCATTACAAACATAGTGTAAAGACGCGATAAATGTTACCCTTATATTATAGATGCGTCAATGAAATATGACTCTTATTTCACCTTAAACGGTCTTTATTTTTGGTATGTGATAAATAGATTATTAAATTCGTGTAAGTTCATTACTGAATTTATTGCACTCGTTGAATTAAATAATATTATTCTCATTCAACTCGTGCGATAAATTCAGTATTTAACTTACACTTATTCAATATCCTCTATTTAATGATAACTTTGTAGTAAATAATTACAACAAGTATGAAAATAACAATTACTTATGTGAAAGTTTAGAATTTCGAAAAAAAACGTGCTTAAATCACATGTTGATATTGTAACAAAGGGAGATAATAATTTAGAAACATCGTTATCAATCAGTATATCTTATAAAGTTGATCAAATAAAATGAAAATGATCTATCTGTTATCTATTCAAATTATGGTATTATGCTCAAAATTAATTTATGTTATATGAAAAAATCAAAAACCATATGAATACATTATGAATAATGTAGTATATAAATATAACAATAAAAAATATGCGTGAATAAAGGAAGGTAATTAAATACTTATATCATTGACATAAATAATGTATTTGTATAGATTTAAATAGATTAATAACATTTCTAGATACAGTAAGTGATTACTAAAATAGAGCAGTCTTTATGCCAATATGTACTAAAAATGATATTGATGAGTTTGTAAAACATTGCAAGTATATATACTAGAAAAACTGTTTGTTAATTTGCAGGCAAAATGTTTTTAACTTATAATATATCCAATATCATGTCTCTTTCAAAAGTCTCGCCATATTATCATGAACTTTATCAATCGGCATGAAGGAAATTCATCAAGTGAATGATCTACGTAATTGAAATGAATTGCAACATTAGAAGAAAAATTGGGATGACAATTACTTCTTATATCTAATTTATGGCTGTTCATTATTTTTGATACCTGTTGATGAGTCTGGCCGACATACTGTATTTTACATTTTTAACAAGAAATTAAATAAATCACGTCAATAGAAGTACAATTTCCATCAAAATGCATTTCGAATAATTCTCCTACGGAAGCGTCCTGGTGCCAATTTAACATGTTCTATAAAAAAAGTAAACTACTACGTAGGGACTTTATTAGTCCTACGTAGGACTTTATAACTCCTACGTAGGAGAAAAAAAACCTAATTAGGAGTTTTTAACTCCTACGTAGAACTTTAGAAGTGTTCCTCTAAAGTTTTAAAGTCCTACGTAGGAGTTATAAACTCCTAATTAGGCTTTTTGATCTCCTACGTAAGAGTTATAAAGTCCTACGTAGGAGTTTCAAAGTCCTACGTAGGAGTTATCTTTTTTTATAGAACATGTTAAATTGGCACCAGGACGCTTCCGTATTCTCCAGTTTTTGTACTTGTGAATTCACTATTTTCTTCAATTTTTTTACAGTGAGAACATCTTTTTCTATTACACTTATTAGTTTTACCATTCATATTCCGTTTATTTAGAGTTGAATGGGTGGGGGAATCTTGAAGATTTTTGGGACGGGTGTATGCTAAGATCGGTTTATGATTATGTAATTTTTTACACTGTCATTTTCTGACAACATTAAAAAGATCCCAGTATTTATTTATTATAAGACCAAGATTGGGAAGAAACGGATTATATGGGATAACAAATTGTACGATTTTTTGCTGCTCTGTTATATTTTGGTTATTTTCCAGAGCTTCTTCTTGGGTTGAATATTTTACTTTTGCTAAAGCAGATTTTAGCTTACTATCAGGATAATTTTCTGATTTTGAAAAAGGATTCTGAATTTATAAGAGATTCATGAAATTTATCATTGTCTGAAATGATACGTCTGTAACGTTTGGCTTGGCTGTATGGTATACCATCTTTACATTTATTATTGTGGCATGAGTTATATTGATGGAAAGCTGTAGGTTTTATATGAATTTCCGTTGATAATGTTGGCCTACAATTTTTATTTTTAAGGATCTTAACATCAAGTAAAGACACATTTTTTTATATATTGTATGTAAATTTAAAGTGTAGGATGAAATGTATCTAATTTGTTTATGAAATCATGTAAGGCACTTATAGAATAATCCCATATCATAAAAATATCATATAGAAAGCGGAGCCAAGTCGTAGGTTTAAGGTCATAACTGTTTAAAAAATCAGATTATAATTTGCCCATGAATAGCGATGCGTATGTAGGGGCCATAGAACTACCAATAGCGGTACCTAGAATTTGTAAATAATTTTCATAATTAAATTGAAAATGATTACTTTAAAGTATCAATTTAAGAGGAGTGCATATTTCCTCCTTTGATAATTTACTTCCACATTTTTCATTATCAAGAAAGTATTTACAAGCAGCTATCCCATCTTCATGTGTGATATTTGTATACAGTGAAGTTACATGCAAAGTAACAAGTACTGAAAGTTTAGGTAAAGATTTTAATTTACGCAAAAAATCAGAGGTATCTTTCACATACGACGGTAATGATTTCATATATGGTTGAAATATAAAGTCAGGGTATTTTGAAATATTTTCTGTGTAACTATTGTATGCAGAAACAATTGGTCTGCCTGGATATCCTATGGGTAGACTTTCATTGTAATATTCATGAATTTTGAGCAAGATATAAAATTGGGGCGTTCTTATGATGTCTGGAAAAATGTCAAATTCGCTAGTTATGTTACTGTTTATTTTAGATATCTCGTTTATACAGTTTTGAATATTAAGTTTTATTTCCTGTGACGGGTAATTGGCTTTTAAGTATCTTATTTACACCTTCTTATTCTATATTGTCTGCGTTTTGTGAAAACACTCTTTATCTATATTGTCTGCGTTTTACCATATATCCTATATTGTCTGCATATTATTTCTGTCGAATATGTAGAAGTTATAATTGGTGAATCATAAGCCAAAAATATTCTTCCGAGTTTATTCTCTTTAGCTTAATGAAGTAAGGTTTACTTACGTGCTTCTATACTCGATATGAACACCTGAAATAACATGTCGCCAGTTATGTGTGCCTTCAATACAAATGTAAAAATACGACCTCGTGTTCTCCTGCAATTTAATAGGTCAATTAAAAAAAATATTTCGTTTGCAGTATTCTACGAAAATAAGTTTGAATAAAATAGTTCAGAAGCGTATTTTAAAGATATTTAAACAGATCTCATGATTTCTCATTCAAGAATAAACGAATATTTCATCTGGTCAAGTTGGAACAAAATAGATAAGAATCATATTTTAAAGTTTTTTAAATTGACCTTACGATCTCTAATTCAAAGATATGCGAGCAATACACCTTGTCAAGTCAGAACAACAAAGTTAAAAAGCGTGTTTTAAAACTATTTCAAAGGACCTTACGAAATCTTATTCAAAGATTTGCGAACAAATCACAATTTGTTGACTCATATCTATGATACAATCGCTTCATATAACTTTAGACATTTTTCTGTGGTTTTGATAAATGGTGTACTGGTTTTAATGGAAGGTGATGCCGTTTCAGTTGATGGTGCTGACATTTTGATAGATGACATATCTTAAGTATCTCTGATAACACGGCCACACATAAGTATGGAAGATCTGCCATTTTCTTACATCAAGTATATGTACAGTTTGATTTATTACACAAGGAAAAGTATCACACAATGGTACTTTTATTATAGCATCAATAAGGCTTGCGACAAAATTACCTTAGATATACTTTTCCTGGAAGAGTGGTAGTTTCTGTGTTACACACTGAAGATTCCCCAAAATTCCCGGGTACATCATTAACAAAACATTTGAAATAGGTATTTTCCTGAAGGAAAACACTCCAGCACTTTAAAAATCATGCAATCAACAGACTAATAAATGTTTAATTCATTAAGGTACTATGAATTTCAAAACACTGATCTTTAATTTATTCTACAATTGTTCGTAAATTAATGCTTAAACATATCATAAAATAAACGTGCATGCGTTAAGTACCTGAGCACGTGCATTTTATACCTCGAATGGTGAAACCTATTTATATCTGAAGTTGTGTTTGCTAAATATCTCGTAAGCGTCGTCCGGTTTGCTGACGTCATTTTATTTGACCAAATTCACACAAAAATGTGTTTAGCGAACAATTACACAGTTTTGGGCTAATCTCTATTGACGAAATCGCCATACAGAGAAATTTAGTAATGCATCACAAGCATTTGTTTACAAGTGGCATGGCCATAAACAAGACAGTAGTAAAAAAGCCAGAGGGAAACAATATTGTGGAGATCGGTTTACATTTGGGAAAAATCTAACGACCTGCTGAAGGAGTGATTAAACAGTGATCACAGGCTTACAATTTGTGATATTTTCGACATCAACCGTTCACTGTATTCATATAGACAAACTAAAAAAAAAACACGCGCGGTACATGCCTCGATTGTTGTTTTACTTTTTATAAAAAACATAAATTAACAACACGTGAATATAACTGAATTGTTTTACTACTTTCTTCTAAGTCTCCAAATTATGATACAAACAGGGAAGTTGTAAGCTCTCGATGACGCAGATGACAGCATAATGGACCTCGTTATTACAACAGATTAGCCATTCGTTCCCTTTTATGAGCCGGAACGAAAACGAAAAACAAGTGTATGACAACTGAATAAATAAGACACCAGTAAATTGATTAAGGTCTTTTTAATACGCAAACGTATTAAAAAATTTTTAGCATCGGGGACCTTGACTTTAATGTCGTACTGTTAGATAACTTTTTTTCTTTGAGCAACATTGCCCTTGATCTTCACCAATCTCGCTTTAGTCAGAAGGCCATCCAAGGTAAGTTTCCATCACGCTTGAAAGACATCGACCAATTTATTATGGCTATAACTTATAACCAAAGTGTAACTAGCATTATTAAGTATTATAAAGAGAAGTAATAAAATATCATAGGGGGCAATAAAGACCTTTGACAACAGTCACCCTCTCCCTGTTTTCTATCACTGTGTGATGTGTTTATAACAATTCCTTTCTAGTTACTCAATGGGCAAGTATAGTTATGTATTATCATAAAGGGAGCTTTATTAAAAATAATGTTATTGCTTTTTGTTAATACTGCAATTGTTCTTATTAGTCTCCATAACCTATGCAATTTAAATAAAATATAATTTGATGACAAGATACATATACCAATACAGTTCATCAACAAATGTGTTGCTTTATTAAGTTTCTTCAGTTGATATGAGAAATAACAAAGGAAATGACGTAAACTCGCCTTACTAAAGAGTTACGAAAGTACAGTTATTCTTCTTAAGCACTGCTTCTTCTCTCAATTGTTTTATCACTTTGTGAAGTTTAAAATGAATTGGTCGACACTTTGCACATTTTCCATCAGTATTTCAAATATTGATAAAAATATACAAATTATCATTTGAATATTTTTATATTAATTGCCTGATTTAAAAAAAATATATATCTATATATAATTCTAAATTATTTGGTATGAACATTCATGTTGAGTAATTATATTTTGTTCTAGAACATTTTATTATCTGCTATATACGTAAATATTATTTCAGATCATGCATCTTACACATGCCAAAAAAAAGGATAATTATTTCGTGGTTTCTTGCTATGTGTAATAATAAATACTGTCAACGTAATTATTTATTGAATACTTGTAACAGACATTACATTATGAACTTATTCACTTCAAATTATATCTCTTAAATGTATTTTAAGTTATTCGCCGGTCGGAAAGACGGGCGGACAGATGAAAGGACAGACTAACAATGCAGCGACTATATACTCTTCCTCTGAGAGAATAAACTAAAACGATTGGAACTATTCTAGCAATCAAAATTGATCGGTTGACACCATGACAACTTCCAAGCACACACTGCAAACACTCCCCAGATAGGGATTGAATGTGTATTATTCATCTACTACTGCACTTGCCTTATTCCCGATTAACCCTCCGGACTTTGCCTACTTCTACAGCTAAAATAGGAGTTATTAGAACTGTAGGTTTATTTAAACGAGAGACTGATGCCCGCCACCATTGATTTCAACAAAGAACTGTCCGGGTAATATTCCAAGAAAACTTCTTGATAAATTTTTGGATAGCACCACTTGAAGCGTTTTTATTGTTGAGGAGAATGCTTCGACATCGGTTAAGCCGCTTGACATGGGTCGCTTTCTTTATTGTTGTTACGGCATTTATATAATAGTTTAATGCCATTTGTGCTTAAATGACTGTTTAAATGGTATGTATTAATAAATGGTATTTATTACTACAGGCTTGAAAAATATATTGGTAGCTTTGTTTCTATGAGTTATTTAACTTGTCATGGAGAATTCGGCACTAACGAACTTGTCAAATATAATTTTTATCAATTTATCTTCAATAAAAGGGGTATAACGAATTTCAAAGTTGTTCGTCTAACAAAAAGTTGTTGGCCTTGTCAGATAAAACAGGTATTCAGACAGATTGCATTGGCTATAGTAAGTATATATAAAAACATTCTCACCAAGTGTCTAGAGTTGATGTCAATCATAACTACCTCAAGTGAACGCTTACAGTCAATGAAATACCATTCAAAATCATTAACTGAAATAAATTAAACAACACTTTGTATACAGTTTTCTATCTGAGATTTAGTTTAATATGCCTATAAAATGACAAACTTCTGACTAATTTTATTTAATTATTTCATGACTATCTTAGAACAAAGATTGGAAATAGGTAAAAGTTCAGCAATACATACATGTAAGGACCGTTACACATTTCATAACGCCTGCAAATGTATATCATGTATGTCTTCAAGATATGAAGTTAAATATTACCTTGATGCAGTTTGTAGAAAGTTCGTTGATTTAGAATCAACTCTGAAAATAAGAAAAAATAAAACAAAAAAGGCTACGCTAAGCAAATAAAATTTAAAATGAAATTTATAAATGATTAGTGTCTTTATTTTTGTTCATAATTACCGTTACGCTATTCTGCAGTATATCATTTTGTAATCTTTTTGTATTTATTTGAAATGGAATGTCTGAATAATGTTTTTTTTGTAAAAAAAACGTCGTTTATCAAAATACTGTACATACAAGTTTGATAAAATTAATGATTGAAAGTTAAACTTTTATTTCTTTAAAAATAATTGTTCAAAAAGAGAACTGACTAATATTCAACATTTAATAATGGTGCTTCATATGCGGATGACAATTTTAAATTTCATGTCTTACTGAAAATACTTAAAAGAAGATGTATAAGATAACAATTTAGACATACCTGTTGTCATTTCATAACCAGTGTTTTGGACTGTAAACAATTAAAAAAGTAAGAAACATTTGAACCGTTAGTACGGAAATCTTGAATACGTTTTCTTTTCATAAAATGGTAAATGGTTAATATAATGGTTAAAAATCGTCTCACATACGATTTCATTCATATCCCTGAATATAATTAATATTTAAAGCATCTTAGACTATTCGTTGGTCGAGATATGTAAAACCAGCCTGTATAGAAGTATGCTTCTAGTAGAACTCCTGATCGAGGTGGGATAAAGCAATCGATGTGAAAAAATACAATCCAGTCTGTTAGAAAGTTGACCTTTTAAATAAGTATTGTTTTTATACTTCAACGACAGTAGGATGCAGGCAAGAACAGTCAACTAGTAAAATCGGCAGTATGAATAATTTCCTCTTGAAAAATACCTTCCTTATTTTGTCATGTTAGAATCGAGAAAGTATTGGTATGAGCCATGTTTATCGGCTACTTAACACCGATTTGTCATTTTTGGCGAAACATTAACCACTCGGGACTATGGCCTTCGTGGTCACTTTCTAAGACAAATGCAAAAAATGAAAGATCTATCATCGCAATCGAACAACTCGCGATATCAACGACAACTGTTTTGGAAACTAATGTGTAAAAACAGTAGAACCTATGTTAATTTAACCTTAGCAAAATTCTAAATTATATTGTATATCGCAATGTTATGCTGACATATAATACTAGTAGCTTTTCAAAATTATTCAATAACATACTTTTACACTTCTTGTATACTTATATGTTCAAAATGTACGATTGTTTGTACTCAGAATTGCGATATGAGATTATATTTATAGCATTTATACGTGTGTTTATCCAAATGATGTTACTTTGATTTCTGTACAAAGCCGCCATTTACGATCTAAGCGTCTCATAATTTTCAAAAACTATTAACAATATATTAAAATTAGGAAAATTAAAACAGATTTTTTAACAGGAATTACTTTTACCCAAAGTCATGATCCTTGGTATGAATGTTACTGATATAATATGGGAATGTCAGATTTTAAAATACATGTACATTTATAATTTGAACTTTCTTTTTATTAAGAACGTTTCTGGATGTTTTCATAAAGACATGTGTGCAAAGTTAAAACTGTTCAATAGATTTCCTTTAACTTGGCATTTTGTAAGAATATGATAACAGAAACATTTTAACCGGAAAAAGATTAGGGACAAATCAAACCCAAGGTAAAGAATCAAGGAAATAAAAATGTATTGAATGAACCTATATCTATTAAAATACAACTCTACTTCGTAATGACAAACACAAAAAATAAAAGTTTTTCTTTGGGGCTGAATTGATAGTTTATATATTTAATAATCATAAGGAAAACATTCTAATCTAAATGTCAATCAATATAATTGTACTGTGTCATTATCAAAATTTTGTCTTTCTAATAATGTATGCTTACTAGCCTTGTGAACATGAATCATTGAAATAGTTTACATGGTTTCAAAACTGCCAAATATAATTCAATATAATTTATTAATTCATATTTCTTGTATTATATATATATATATATATATGATATTGGAACAAAAAATATCCTCATGTGGGAATATGTATTTTTATATCGAGTGTAAAGCTTGACCAATCAGAGACTAGAAAATCGAAAGTGGCCCTAAAATAGAAAATTACAACCAAATAGCTATTGATCAGAATACATGATAAAATTAACATTTTAAAACCAAGATGTCATTTTTCTTTTTATAAACACTTGCAAATATTGGTATAGTTGGAATTCGTCGATCACGACAAATTCGATATAGATTTTAGCAAGTTATAGATATATGCTAATTATCTATAGTTTTAAAATTTTAAAAATTATTTGATATTCTGTCCAAAATGACTATAACTAATTGATGTGACTTATGACTTAACCCATTACTTCATGAGCATTTTGTGAAGAATGGCTGCTTTCAGTGAAAAGTATCCCCTTACAAGTTCAAATTGCTATACAACTATAAAAACTGCCTTATTACTAATCAAACTTTGCACAAATGTTATTTGGACAATTGCATTTGTAACAACATACTCAGGCTTAAATTTCCTGTTACCATGGCAACGAGGGGACATCTCAAAAATGCCATAAATCACTATTTCGCATTGATTTTTTCCATCAAAATTGATTTCAAAGTGCTGCAACTTCTCAATAGATTGAGATAGAGTCAGATGCTTTTCAGCGTTGGTTACACGTTACATTTTGATCGATCTGGGGTAATTTTTAGTCTCTCACAAGTCCAAAGTTTTCTTTGCGATGAGGGGTACTCCGCCCCCCTTCAAACCCCCCAAACAGAAGGGGGCATATCCCCTTTCTGGCACCCCCCTGATGTTTCTTCTGGTTGGGGGCCGCGCCGAAAAAGTGGTCACATTTCTCAAATAAAAACATGTGTCAGGGCGCCCAAACAGGACATTTTTTCACTATTTGGGGCCTAAAAGAGGGGGGGGGGATGAAAATGCGTTGTTTCGCGTATATATGGGGTAAAGGGTTTTTAAATTATTTTTTTCAGTTTATCCGAATGATCAGTATAGTAGGTACCCGTTGATTGATCCATTTACCTTTAGATTTAGAGCTTTAACTCGTTCATGACATTTGATTTAATATGATGAAATGGTGAAGTTTATTTAATTTCCGAAATAAAAGGTGTGTTAAATGTGAATGATAAAAATTGAAATGATGCTTATTGTTTTTAAGTTTGCATTTTATAAATTTCATCAAAACAGAAATAGCTATAATTGTTTTATAAAATGGCTTTCAAAGCGACTCCCGTTCTTAATTTTGTGTACTATTTTTTGTGTACAAAATGACTTTATCACCTTATGGAGCAGTAAATTCATTGTGGCGAAATCGAGTCAAGAGTACATTTCTATTTAATGTGAAACTCTGCCGATGGGCTCTCCGAACATCAACAGAAAATCAACAAACATTTCCGAATTGAACGTTATATTTTCGCATTATATTACGAATATAACAAAATGCCTTATATACCACAAAAGCATATTGGTAAAAGTTGATTACATGGAAAATCCTACATTTGCTTTTTACAGCTTTTGATTTTTCTAAAGTCTAACACTGTGACGTAACGCATATACAGTCCTCATTTTGCTGTTAAAAATGTATACGAACTATAGTTTTATCGTGGAGTTTTCCTTTTAGAATTATATTTTCTCAACAGTATTTGATAGATTTCACAACCATTAAGAAAAATGTAGACTGCTTGGTTATATTAGGCGGACGGCAACATATTTATACATATCTGTAAAATAAAGTTTTAACTGACAAACAAAAATTTAACCCGAAATTTAAAAAAATGTAATATTTAAGATTGAATTAAACCTTGAATAAAGATGACTTACCTTTTTGGTTATAGAAACAGTGAGTCTCTCCCTGAGACACCGTTGTTACGTTGAACTGGGAGCAATTTGTACCTGCCTCCTGTCAAAATATTGGTTATTGTATTCGAGATATGTTTTTTTTCTCAACTAATCTAGTAAATAGCCATGTTTAGTGCAACATTTGATATATGGCAAAATTGTACAAAAGATTTTACAAATTCGATTTCATTATACAGTCATGTGTTTCCAGGATGGAATATGATGCAAATGTAAATAAAGATTATGTTCAAATAGGTTTCAACTAAACTCTGTAATGTTATACTTGCATGATAAATAAAATATGTTAAATGTATATTTAGTAACTTGCCTTTTATTTATTTGATTTCTGATATTAAAATAACTTCTAATTATTACTGATAAGAAATAAAAGCCATTGCCTTTTCAAGAATGAAATCAGTCTCTAACAATCTAAATGTTTCATTTGTTTGAACGTATCCCATGTCAGCCAAATTCTTTTTTGTACAAATTGAAATGTGGAGAATTTTAGTTAGCATTTCAGATTGCCCTGAAATAATACAGAAATTTTATATTTTATCTTGTTATCATTCTGAAAAATAGCAGTATAGCATGTGAAGAAAACAAAGCGACGTACAAAATTTCAGAACAAATTCAAACGAATCCTAAAATAGAGAAAAACAAAAGAAAGCGTAACACATCAAAACTGTAGATATTGCAGGCTCGGTTTGATTTAGCATGTTCATCGACGATAGTTGTGATAACATGATTGCGAGATACCGTCAACGCCGCCTCCCAGCACAATCTTCAGCAAATAAAGCCTGCAATATCTCAAGTATTATTTGTCAAACGATTTTTTCTCCTGGTACTGTTTCAAAACTGGCACTCATTGTTTAAATACCGGAGTTATCTTTTGCTTGCTTTTTGTTTGCTTTTCAGCATTTAGTACAGTAACAGTGAATAAGTATTAGTATGGAAGTCAAAAAACCCGTTGTTAAAATTTATATATCTTTATCATAAATTATTTCAATTAAATACTGTTTTGTTCCGATTTTTAGCATGTTCTAAATCCATATGAAGCTCATACTTTGCTTTCCTACAGAGAGAAAGCTGTATTCAATTCAAAAGTATAATGTACTTTCAACACAACCAGCGTCAATCAGTTTAACTATTTCGTCCATTTAAAAATGTATTAACAAAGTTTGTTATCATGCAATACTAAGAACTAACAAAAGTATGATATATTGTTCAAATCCACTTTTACGAACATTTTTTTACCACAATTGGTTAGTAAATAGCTCTTTTGACAAACAAGTTTAGAATAGTTTTAACCACGAACCTTTTTCACTCACTGCAAAATCTGGAACTTGACCATGCGACACAAATTCAGTGACAGGATATGTTCTAGTGGATTCTTCAAATTCTAGAAAAATCATGATACAAAGATACCGTTGTATTAATGGATATACTGTATACCAGATATTTCTGCATTTTAAAGTACCTATACTGATAAACATAGCAGCTCAAATGTATCATTGATGGAACATGATGGGAGTGATATATGAACATAAAACCGCAAAATATTTGATGCCAGATTAGAAAAGAAAATATAATTATATGAAAATCGCAGAAACCAAAATAGACTGAATATATTCATGAGAGATATTGGAAAGTTTGATTCATATTGCCCACGCAAGAATCAGTTTTTGTCAGAACATAAAGTTTTTCAGTATACAAGAATTGATATATACCCGTGGGACATGAAGATCCGATCTTATAAATGCTGTAGTTTCCTGGAATCCATTGTTCCTTATCAAGCGCAGTGTCATTACGGAATTTCACGCAAAAATAAAAATGCGTCCAATTTTCTAGACGATGCGGCGATTTAAAATAGTCATCGTTTATGAATGAGGAATCGGGGTCCCAATTCCTACCCAACACTGTAGAGACACTTTCTGAATTTTTACTCAATTCTACCATCTTGACTTTTAATTTGCTTTTCAACCATCCCCGAGACTGTGATTCCGGACAGCCATATTTACACATTGGTATTGCGTATGGCCCTGGTGGCCACACACTCTCTTTCTCTTGTCTTCCTGTAAACAGAAAGAAAATGTAGATTTATTTCAATTTGAAAAAAGAAAACACTTTTAAAATAAATTTATAAACAAAGCAAAGTTTCTGGTTCTTCTAATCACAGTTATCTGAAGCAAATAACGGTTAATCTAATGTGTAGCAATTGTACCTATATTTCTATGACTATGTTTCAAAATTTTAGAATGTGAATTACATATCCAATTCGATTTTTTGAAAATTTCAACAAATTAAACAAAGGAATGTGTTATGTAAAATGTAAAGTAACTCAATTATTTGAATTTCAGCTAAAAGAATAAATGTTCTCTTCGATAGAATAAGTTATAAAATAGATATTGTGCGTAACTTTTTGCTTGTATCTTTTATTAATCAGTCAATTAATCAATTAATTCGATCATTTCGTGTTGACGATAGTTTAATATTGCTTTTACTATATATCGAGGGCAAAAATGCTCCAGATTTTTTCTTTCGTTTTCAATTTAAAATTTTTAATACAATGCTGAAAAAAATATACTTTTTTGCAATGCAAATAAAAAACACAGGACATTGTTAAAGTTTCAAATTGCCAAATTGTCTTTCGTATTTGAATAGATGACTAAAACAAATCAACGGTATATCAATATCCGACAATAAAATCACATGAACCTGGAGGAGAAAGGGGTCATTTTATTTATTTGTCGATTTTGATGTTATTGTCGATTTTGTAATAAGTGTTTTTGTGCTTCTTTTGTTAAGATTCACCTAAACAAATATATGATTTACCCTAAAATAAAATGTCACAGTATGAATTAAATGTATAATTAACCCGGCAGCGAGTTTTGATTGTTTGCATTAAAGTGTCAATTACCAGAAATATAAATCTTAAAGTTTGTCAAACAGGGATCAATTTAAGACACCTTTATTAATATATGTTAATTATGTGCTTGTTGATAGGCGGCAATTGTTAATGAAATGTTCCCTCCATGCTCCCAGTACTTATTTATAACAGTAGAAATAAAAAAAATCATTAACATCTATAGATATGTTTTGTGACTGATGTCATGAGTATTAGCAATGTGCATAATTCCAATCAGATAATTTAAAGTGTATTTTAGAAAGAATACTGATACAACCAATTGAAAATGCTGCAATTTCAGTGTCAACAAAGAAAAGAATTACATGTACGTGAAATTCATCATAAAAAACCGCCAAACTAGTTTTATAATTAAAGTTTATACCTTTTTTCTGGCTTAATTTTCGTAACGTTAATAAAATGAAACAGTTCAGCTGCTGTAAAATTGTATTGTTGACCCTATTCATTGCATAAACTAATAACACATTTGTTTGTTAAGCTGTTCAGATAGCATTTATAAAAAAAAACATTTCATCAAACCGAGCCTGTAACATTTTCAACTTTGACGTTTGGACGTTCTTTGGGGATTCTATTTCGCTCTATGCAATCTCTAAGGAGATGTTCATAGATGATACGTGAAGCTAGATCGCTTGTATATTAGAGTTTCATAGTGTTGGATGATACTTGAGAGACACCATTATATTTCGTGTGGTGACTTTTTTAAAATGCCAGGGAAATTTTAAAGTCACTTTTTGCCTTTCCGAATTTGGACAAAAATGTTTTTTCCCAAATTTACATGAGCAAAAGTCTTTAATGTTTTGATGTTATGGCGTTTTATTTTTTTTTTTCAATCACCAAAAAAATATAGAACAATTGACATTGGGGGAATAGCCCCCCGAGATTTTCTTTTTGCAGGTTTTGTAATTAGTGGTCATTTAGAAAGTTATTTAAATTTAAATAATTATGGGCGGCTGTTAATAATGTTTTTTTTTTTTTTTTTAATTGTCCCTTTTATTTTGGTGGGACTTTAATTTGTTGTCTCTGAAAAATTCTGGAAACAAAGTATTAAAATTTTTAAAAAAAAATAAACTTTAAAATTGCGATGGTTTGATTTAGTCTGTACATAGTCATAATGAATTGAAGTCTTAATTTGGTGATTCATTTCTGGAGTTTTTTATTTTTAACAAATTTTGCAGCGGTTTAACGTACCTTTACGTACAACATTGCCCTAGGGGGTACCAAATCAATTTTTGCATCTGTACATCGTCAGCTATAATAGTGATCATATGTACCAAGTTATTTAAAAACAAATTCAGCGGTTTAAAATGTTATGGAGCGAACATGAAAGTGTTATGTACGGACAGACGGTCGGACAGATGGAGGGATTTATGGACAGACAGGGGGACTTACAGACGGAAGTCATTCCTATAAGCCACTCCCTGCTTTGCGAAAGGGGATTAACAAAATGTCATACAAAAGGCATCTAACTCTCTTCCTTATAAATGAAATGCAGTTATGACATTTACATAAGCATTAAATAAAGTCTAAACACATTTATTTTTATTTATTATTAATGAAATACAATGACATTACCTTTAGAATGTATGAAAGTACAATGAAATTATAGGAACTCTATCTGACGTCCAAAAGTAAAAACATAAAAAAATTTAATTCCTTAAAAAATTTTATAGTTGGAAAACCATTTAAAACATAAAGATAATTAACAAATATATCCAAATAAAAGGAAAATTAAAATTTGTTTTCTATTCTTATTTCAAGTAAAGGGAAGCGAGGGAAATGTTTTATTCCAGTTTAACATTTAAATTAAAAAAAAAAAATTCTCAAAAAAAGTTGGAAATTTGAGCTGGAATAAAAGTATTATCTAGACTACTTCAAAGGAAAAAAATTGAAAACATTTCAGCAATTGCTTAGGGTCCAGGAATGTTATGAATATATTGACTGAAAAGGGGTTTAAAATGAACTTAGGGAAACCATAATTTTGGGACGGTTATAAATGAATACGACATACCGCCATGTTTATGGGTTTTAGACTTGCAATGTAAAGAATTAAAACTACTTTAATGCTTGAAGTTTAAATAAGAAAAAAAAAAAAAATTTCTTTAATGTGCAGTATAGGGATCAACTTGATCCAAATTGCCTTTTTTAGATCTTAAAGATCGAAATACGGCCTTGTCCATTTCAAATTTAATACCATCTTTAAAATGAATAATCATGTTTTCAGTTAAAAACACCCTAAACATGAGGGAAACTTGCCTGACATACTAAAACCCATGAGAGCAATGAGCTATTTGGGCCGGTACACATTTTCTTTTTTTAAATTTGAAAAAAATTCTACAACAAATATTTCTTTTATTTGATTTTTGCCTTGAATTTCCTGATTGTTTAGAGCTTAATTTTTCTCGGGGGTTAAAATGAGTAAAAACTGGATTTTCAATTTGGGCCCCGTTTAAATTTTTTCCTAAAAATTGAACAGTTCAAAACCGTGAAAGATACTTTTAGATTTTTAAATCAACAGGTAGATCAATTCTTAATTAAACAAATTAGAAAAAAAAAAAACCTTACATACTCATAGTCTTAATCAAAATAACAATTTATATATTGTATAATTATTTTTACTTACAAGGGCTTAGATGCCATTAGTTATAACAGGTCAATTTAAAAGTGAACATAACTGTACTAATACAATCATGTACAATATCTTTTTTGTTGTACAGATAAAAAAACTAACCCTTTTGATATGCTAAGAAATTTTATGAAGGCTGATTTGTATTTTGCATCAGGGGCACAGGGCGAAAACATGAAAATGCAAAAAAAAAAACGAACCACTTTGTGGTAGATTGTATTTTCATGTTTTCATCTGTAATGTGTTGGTTTTCATGTGGCACAAATCACCCACTATAAAATTTAGTGCTCAAATTTATTCAAAGGCAAGTAACAATCTAATCTATGAACAGTCTGTTGTCGGATTGACTCTGGAGACCTGGAGGTTGAGACCGGTGTCCCTTCATTACAAATAGATAAGACAGAAGCTGTCCTTTTCAAACTATGCACATGTTGGAAAAAATTGAATAACTACATGTATTCAGAATATGATGTTTTTAGACTTTACTTATTATATTGCTTGATCCAAGTTAAGGACATTTTCAATCAATACATGCATTATCATTTATAACTTTAAATGAAAGTCTCATTCTTTTAAAAACAATGTCATAACTGTAACTCTTTAAATACAGAAATATTATAAGTCTCATCATATCAATATACTAAGTGTTTAAAATTGATAATTTCATGATGTTATCCTTTCTCTGTTTTTAGTCCCCTACCGGTTTAACCGGAGGGGACTTTAGGTTTACCCTCCGTCCGTCTGTCCGTCTGTCTGTCTGTCTGTCCGTCTGTCTGTCAGTCCGTCAGTCCGTCCGTCCACAAAACTGGATCCCGCGATAACGTAAAAAGTACTAAAAATATTTTTATGAAACTTGATATATGGATAGATGGCAGTATGGAGATTATGCATGTCTTTTTCTTTTCTTCCTATGTTGAAAATTCTGGTTGCTATGGCAACAAATAGTCTGAAAATATGGCAAATTTATCACATAAACTGGATCCAGTGATAACTCAAAAAGTACTGAAAATATTTTTATGAAACTTGAAATATGGGTAGATGGCAGTCTGGAGATTATGCACATCTTTTTCTTTTCTTCCTATGTTGAAAATTCTGGTTGCTATGGCAACAAATAGCCTGAATTTCAAGATTTCTGATTTAAATTTTTCAGCTTTTTCACTATATGTTCTTTATTTCTTAAGGTGTTTACTTCAAACTTTAAATTTAAGTTTCTGGTCATCAACCACATCATATGTGACAAGGTTTATAACTCTAGCACAAAAATTATCAGTATTACCTCCCTTGAACTTAGATTTTTTAGGGGAAAAAATGTTGTCTTTTTTAAATAACTTCTTTATTTCCTAATATATCTACTTCAAACTTCATATATATGTTTCTTATTATCACTCGACATTTTTGAGAAGGTTAAATACTCTAGCAAGACTATTTCCAGAATAATGTCCCCCTTGAACTTAAATTTTTTTCGAGAAACTGGTATTTTCACTCCAACTTCTTCATTCCTTATAGGATTTACTTTAAAATCCCGCATTGTAATAATATGACAAGGTTGTATAAACATAATTTCCTTACTAGGCATGGAAACTTAACACATTACTGTGATATAGACAAACCTAGAACTCAAAAGATTTTAAGTTCATTCATGTCATTCATTCACTGGTAAAATTGAATGGCACATGGCCCATCAGAATGTTGCTGGGGTTCTAACCGGTAGGGGACTTATGGATTGCTTGCAATACTATGATAATTGCTTGTAATATATAGGCATGAGCACCTATATGCATAGCTTTAATTTTCTACCTTTCATTTTTACCAAAGGTTATTTTATTAACAATTTATATACAAACACATAGAAATTTTCTACCTTTCATTTTTACCAAAGGTTATTTTATTAACAATTTATATACAAACACATAGAAAATAATAATTAGTTTCACATCGTGATTAGAAGATTCCTGTAGCAGAATACCTGTAGGTACGTACTAACTGAACAAACTAGAACTAGAACTGTGTTCAAAGGACACGGATGCCCCCACTGACAACATACACATGTATAGGGTATATAGTAAAAAAATTAACAAAGGGCTATAATTCTGTTAAATTTCGTCGCAGCAAATATCCTTCCTTTACTTCCATCTACACATTAAGTTGTTCATCCCTGGAAGTTTAAGCAAAATCTGCCATCCGGTTTAAGAGGAGTTGCGTTCACAAAATTTCTATATGGTATATAGTGAAAAAATCAACAAAGGGCCATAATTCTGTTAAATTTGGCCGCAGCGAAAATTCCATCCTTTACTACCATCTACACATAAAGGTTGTTTATCCCTGCAACATCAAGCAAAATCTGCCATCCGGTTTAAGAGGAGTTGCGTTCACAATATTTCGGGACGTACGGACAGACGTACGGACGGACGGACAAGTGCAACGCTATATGCTCCCCACTTTGTTGGGGCATAAAAATCCAGTATAAGGTATATAAAGCCAGTAAAAAAATCTATCAATATTCACTCCTCAGGGCTTCTTATGCTTTTGATGACCTTAAAACTGGTAAATTTTATACAACAAAAATAGTAAAGTATACTGTGCTCCTCTTAGTTCACTGTACTTAACGCTTTGAAACCAGAAAGAAACCAACAAATGAAACTTATTGTATAAAATTTGTCATAAGCTATAACATATAGGTATTTTCTGATGTATTGCACAAGGAAACAACAATATATTCAGTCAATTTTAATGGACCATACGTAGACCATAATAATGTCGGCCATTTTGAAAACAGTATATCATCATTAAAATCGCGGTAATGGTGTTACATTTCAGTTTTTCTTTCATGTTTCGATTAAAATTTCTAAATGCTATTTTGCTTGATTTTAAATATCAAAATTATCCTTACTTTGTAAGTCAAAATTTATTTTTTCAACAACCAAGAACATTCAGAAAATGATGATTGTTTCTGACATACGCACACATTTAATGGATTAGTGTTGCCTTTTGCAGAAATTTGTAAAATGTCTTTCTGCTTTACGTAATAATCTAGAGATTTAAAATATTTTGCACCAAAACTTTGTTGTATAGATGTATGAAAAAAATATGTCAATTCTGACCAATTTTAACACTGGTCACATGAAAATATGCCATTACCGTGACATAAATGATGGCACGGAATAAGTGATGTTGAGTTTAATACCTAAAATAGCAAGAAAAGAACAAATAATTTAGTAAACATGAGTTGCTTCCCCTTAAAATAGAGAAAACCTGAAACCCAAAAGAACACCCCGAACAGCAAAATGATGAAATGTTGCAGGCTCAGTTTTATTAAGCCATGCAAAGTAATGGTAAAATATTCATAAAAAGTTAGATGGCCATGTTACAGCAGTAATTGCAGAAAATCGGATAGTTTTCAAAGTCCGGATACTGGTACACTTTGTAAAAACAATTATTCTGAACGTAATATGGATAAAATCAATAGGATAATCGTTTACAGTTCCATTACCTATCCTAATACTCATTTGCAGATGAACGTTCTTCTTGTAGGAAAATTTTGAAAATATAAAAATGAATGAAAAAGAATAAGGCATCAATGTAGACCACAACGATATTCGAAATCCGGGTTTTAGTATTACCAATAAAGCTAAGGGACAAGCTTTTAAACAGATTTCGTGAAAATAATATAACAATGCACATGCTTTTTACATAAAGTTATTAAATACAAATATAACAACATATTTGTTTACTTGATTTTTACGAATCAGAATAAAACTAATTAACACAACATGACATTAATTGCTAATAATAACAGCTCCTTCCATAGGCCAAAATAAAAAGCATTCCATAAGAGACGACGCCGCTCACCGGCGTCGCCAATAAGAAAGCCCGTGATATTGAACAAGCATGTTTAGTTTGAAATGAATATCATTGACGCCAGAAAAAACAAGGATGATGACATGACTATCAGTGTCACATGCTGAGTACGAAAATGTATCGATTCTGATAGTGGACATGTATTTCAACGTAAAGTCTTTATCATGGATAGTTTTTTGAGAAAAAAAGATAATGAATTAAATCTTAACTTAAAATGATTTAAAAATATAATAGTAACAAGACCACCGCATGCAGGGATAACTTTTTCATTTCAGTGATGTTACTTACCGTAACTCATATTAAGCTTTTCACAATTCAGTCGGTTCGTTCCATTTTCAAAACATTTTGAGTATGGAAACTCAGTTGGTTTATATACAACCTTAGGTTGAAGAAACACTGAAATACATCAAATGCAGAATAAACATTAGCTATGTTTGCTGATGATAAAACTGTAAGTATATAATTTTTGAGAAATAGGAGAACCCTGAAAAGCAACGAAAACAAGATAATTATGTTTTAACACTATGACTTTTACCGAATATTTTGTTAGTTCGTGCGTATTCACTTTAATCAGAAATATATTAAATCACATACAAATAAAATTTGTTGAATTTTATCATTTATAGCATATCTCTCGATTAAGACAACACAAATTTATTTAATTTTTCAAATTTGACATCACCATGGTAATGATAGAATCGAACTACTTTTATATTCGCAACGTTGGCAAAACAGTTATCTTCTTTACATTGGTCTTTTGTGTTTGATTTTGTTTTTCCAGAATGTATGGAATTTAAAAACATTTCACTTTACTTTCTAACTTTCTTTTGAGATGTAAAATAGTGTATTTAACACTCAATTTATTCTGACAAATCTACAAAATGTATTAAATATGATAAACAAGATCAACAAGGAAGGCGGCGTTTGATGAACGCAAGACCAGCGCAAGGAGCCCAGGAGGACCCCGAAACAAAAACAGGTCAGGACTCAAGGCAGAGCACGGACAGTATGATCACTCAAATGATACTTCAAAAGAAATTATATTAAACAACAAGGAAATTAAAGAAAATCAAATATTGATTAATTAATAGGCCCATAAAATAAAAGGGCACAGGGAAACAACGATATTTTATGTAGAATCGTCTTTATATAGAGACAGCATAACAATATGTGATGTCAAAGCATCCTTATATGATGTCAATCTTTCTTGATACTATGTGCATTAATGAATATATTGTGTGGCACCATCTTTATATAGAGTCATAATAGCAGTATATAATGTCAATGTGTCCTTATCTGTTGTCAGTCTTTCATTATATGATATGCAATTACAAATATATTATAAAGAACCATTCTTATATTGAGTCAAAACAACATAACAGTATGTAGAACCATCTTTATATAGAGTCAACTTAACAATATATGATGTAAATGCGTCCTTTCATTATACGATGTACATTAATGTAAATATTATGTAGAATCATTCTTATATAGAGTCAAAACAACACTATATTATGTAGAATCGTCTTTATATAGAGTCAACTTATCAATTTGTCAGCAGTTAAGAACCGCCCGGAATTCCCTCAAGTTTTGAGATTTTATCACAATGGGATATAGACAGTTCCCACCACGAACGGTGCATAATGAGATATAGCCCGGTTAATTTAACCCCATCAGTATAATGACAAAAGCACTTCATATAAAACAGCGGACTTAAAATAATAGATGCACATCGTATACTAATAGATTCACATCGTATAATAATAGATTCACATCGTATAATAATAGATTCACATCGTATAATAAAAGATTCACATCGTTTAATGAAAGATTGTAATAACACATTTATGAGTTGACATTATATAATGATGCTAACACATAATATATTCATAAATGCCCATCGTATAATAATAGATTCGCATCGTATAATAAAAGATTGACAAAATATATATTGTTATAATAGAGTGAAATAAGAATCCCCAAAGAAAGCCCAAATTTGACTCTATATAATGATGCTACCACATAATATACTCATAAATGCACATCGTATAATAATATATTCACATCGTATAATAAAAGATTGATATATTATATTGATAAGTTGACTGTATATATTGATGCTACCACTTAATGTACTCATAAATGCACATCGTATAATAATATATTCACATCGTATAATGAAAGATTGACATATTATATTGATAAGTTGAATGTATATATTGATGCTTCCACTTAATGTACTCATAAATGCACTTGTATAATAATAGATTCACATCGTATAATGAAAGATTGACATAAAATATTATAAGTTGACATAATATAATGATGCTACCACATAATATACTCATAAATGCACATCGTATAATAATTGATTGACATCATATAAAGACACATTGACATCATATATCGTTCAGTTGAATTCATATAAGGATGCATCCATATATTAAATTCATGAATGAACATAGTATAAAGAAAGAGTGACACAACAACGTTCAATTTTATAATCATAAGAGAGTCAAGGCTATAAAGGGGTTGAATACTAAGCATGCAGTATGTCTTGAAATAGTAGGATCATTACCTCTTTAAATAAACCGTTTAATGATTTAAGTAAAAACAGCAGAAAAACTACCATGACCCTAGATCCTACGATTTTTAAATCACATCGCCATTAAAATCAAGCTTGCTAATTCCTTGACGTAGAAAATTATAAAATCACTATTAAACTTAAAAATCAAATCCAAATTACGTTTTGTGAAATTTTGTTAAATATTTACATAATTTAGGATAACGGTTGTCCTGCTTTAGAAGCTTGCTAGTAATGAAAATATTCCGCTTGTTGTAATCGTTTACGTTGCTTCAAGTGCTAGCGAATCTAATTAATTTAGAAACATATACCACGAAAGATGCTGCATGGGATACGTCTCCATCTCAATGTGAATAATTAACTGTCACCGCCTTTGTTATAGATTTTCGTGTGTATAGACTTGTTGTTGACAGTAATATGAAGATCAAAAAATAATGTACTAAAATATCATGGGGATAAATATCAGACACCATTTGATCAAAATAAGAATTATCTAAATAAAACATATCACCAAGGTATCTAGACGTATTATTAAATGTTACTATACTATTTAATAAATACAAGGATTGTGAACAAATAACACAATGTTCAAATGATTAAACTTCAATGAAATACACATTTTTCAGTTCAACGAGATAATATCCGATTACATAGAAAATATCTCGGCGAAGGGTTGTTGACAGAATGAAGAAATGGTAACTATGCTGTAATCCGGTATGACAAATTGATCGCGAATGATTTTGTGTACAAATACGATGACACTATTCAATCTATTGTGTTAATCGGTGCTCGCTGAAGGAGTACACGTCCACGTGGCCAGGCAAGCGATGTTTTACAAATAATGTATCAATTGGATGTACAAAACCACGTGAGTGCTTACGTAGAACCCAATCAACCGCGCTTTGTGAACCGACCAATCAGGAGCGATTCGGGTTTGTCCGATGATGTTTCCGACTCATCTAATATAGAATTGGGATACGGTCAAGGCCAAATAAACAATGATTATTCATGTATGAGCATTGCAAGCTGAAATATTGCGGGATTATGTAAACGTGCTGACAATGTTGAACTTAAACATTTTTCTCTGCTTCTCTTTTCTCTATTTCTCTTCTTTTGGTATTATTCACCAGTGTGAAATAAGGGGAAAACGTGTGGGTGAATTTAGCTCCTTTTTAGAATCTTAAATTTGTTATGAACATGTTAGAGCATAGCGTTCTAATAGCATTCGCAATAACGGCCGTTTT